GCAAGGGGGACAGGGTGGGTGCAACCAGGTTGGTTCAAGGGGATGGGATCAGTGCAAGGGAGGTGCATGGGTGCAAGGGGACAGCGTAGGGGCAAGGGGACAAGCTCGGTGCAAGAGGACCACGTTGGTGCAAGAGACTGCACGGGTGCAAGGGATCGGTGCAGGAGGACTGCAAGGGTGCAAAGGGATCGGTGCAAGAGGACTGCACGGGTGCAACGGACCACGTCGGTGCAAGAGGACCACGTCGGTGCAAGAGGACCAAGTCACTAAGAGGGTAACATCTTTATTGATGGGCACCAGGTTGATGCCAATGGAACAGGTCAGTGCAAGGGGACAGGGTGGGTACAAGGGGACAAGGTGGGTGCAAGGGGACAGTGTGGGTGCAAGGGGACACTGTGGGTGCAAAGGGCCTGGATCAGTGCAAGGAGGCTGGATCAGTGCAAGGGGGCTCTGTGGGTGCAGAGGGACCTGGTCAATGCAAGGGGACCTGGTCCATGCAAGGTCACCAGGGTGCAGGGGACCAGCTCACCACGAAGGTGCCAGGCGGCTGCAAGGACATTGGGTGGCTGCGACGGAGCCAGGTCGGTGCGAGGAAACCAGGTGGGTGCAAATGGGACCAGGTGGGTGCAAAGGGGTCTGGGTGGGTGCAAAGGGGATTGCATGGGTGCAAAGGAAACCGTTTGGGTGCAAGGGGACCAAATGGGTGGAAGGGGATCAGATGGGTGCAAAGGGACCAGATATGATGCAAAGGGAATGATAAAGGTTAAAAGGGGCCTGAATGGGTGCAAAGGGTCCTGGATGGGTGCTAAGGGGTTCAGCTGGGTGCAGAGGGTCCTGGCTGGGAGCAAAGGAGACTGGAGCGATTTAATGGGACTGGGTGGTTGCAAGGAGACCGTCTGGATGCAAAGGGTCCTGGATGGGTGCAAAGGGGTTCAGCTGGGTGCAGAGGGTCCTGGCTGGGAGCAAAGGGGACTGGAGAGATTTAATGGGACTGGGTGGTTGCAAGGAGACCGTCTGGGTGCAAAGGGTCCTGGATGAGTGCAAAGGGGTTCAGCTGGGTGCAAAACGGGTCCAGCTGGGTGCAAAGGGTCCTGGCTGGGTGCAAAGGGGATTGGAGAGATTCAAGGGGACTGGATGGCTGCAAGGAGACCATCTGGGTGCAAAGGGTCCTGGATGGGTGCAAAGGGGTCCAACTGGGTGCAAAGGGTCCTGGCTGGGTGCAGAGGGGTCCGTGTGGGTGCAGATGGGTCCGTGTGGGTGCAGAGGGCTCCGTGTGGGTGCAGAGGGGTCCGTGTGGGCGCAGGGCCCCGCGGGCTCAGTGCGCGGGCGCGCGGGCCAGCAGGCTCTCGCGGCACACCTCGCGGTACGCGTTGCGCAGCAGCACGTACGGGAAGCAGCTCTCCAGCATGTCCACGGTGAGGAAGGACGACTCGGCCACCAGCTGCGGCAGGGACGGGGACAGCGCCGTGGGCGAGTGGCCGAGACGCGTCCCCAGCCCTCCCCCCGGAGCCGCATTTGCATTTAGATTGCTTGGGAGCGCCGCGTGCATGCCGATGCGGGTGACGAGCGTGGGGACACGGGAGGGTGGCACGCGGGGATGGGGGGGTGACACCCCGGGGATGGCGGATGACACCCCATGGATGACGAGTGACACCCCATGGATGGCAAGTGACACCCCAGGGACAGCGGGTGGCACCCTGGGGGTGATGAGTGCCACCCTGGGGACAGCAGGTGACACCCCAGGGACAGCAGGTGACCTCCCAGGGACAGCAGGTGCCACTCTGGGGGTGGCAGGTGCCACTGCGGGGACAGCAGGTGCCACCCTAGGGACACAGCCAAGTGCCACCTTGGGGATGGCAGGTGCCACCGCGGGGACACTCACCAGCTGCAGGAGCAGGGAGACGGAGTCGCGGTTCCGGGCGCGGATCCTGTCCGGGTCCTGGCCCAGCTGCAGGAGGCTGGCGGAGGCCACCTGGGGACACAGGGCGCTCAGCACCCTGGGGTGCCCACGGGGGACGCGGGGCTGTCGGGGTGTGGTTGGTCCAGGGCATTGGACACACTGCAGTGGCCCTAGAGGGTGGCACCTTCCTAGGGGTGACAGGGGTGGCTGTGCCAGGGTGGTGGGTGCAGGTGGTCATCCTAGGGTGGTGCCCACTCAAGGATGGTGCCTGACCCTGGGTGATGGACACCCCAGGGTGATGGACACCCCAGGGTCGTGATGACCCCAGGATGGTGCCCACCACGGCCCAATGGCCACCCCAGGATGACGGACACCCCAGAATGGTGGGCACACCAAGACCATGCACACCCCGGGATGGTGCCAACTCAAAGATGGTGCCCACCACAACCCAAAGGCCAGGACGCGGCCACCACAGGATGGTGGCCACCACAGGGTGATGGCCACCGTAGCATGGTGCCAACTCAAAGATGGTGCCCAAGGGTGCCCACCGTAACCACAGGATGGTGGCCACCGTAGGATGGTGCCAACTTAGGGATTGTGCCTAGCCCGGGACGATGGCCATCCTGGCATAATGGCCACCCCAGAATGATCCCCAGAACAGCCCAAAGGCCACCCCAGGACGATGGTCACCCCAGGATGGTGGCCATCCCAACATGATGGCCACCCCAGGATGGAGCCAGCTCCAGAATGGTGACCCACTCCACAACAACGGCCACCCCAGGACGGTGCCAACCCCAGGATGATGCCCAACAGCCACCTCGGGGTGACGGCCACCCCAGGCTGTCCCAGCCATGGCCCCAGCTGCCCTCACCACCAGGAACTCCTTGAGGTGGGTCTCGATGTTCTTGTTGTGGATGGTGAAGAGCGCGGCCGACACCTGGATGATGGCCTTGGCCAGGCAGTGAATGTTGTTGTTGTAGCCTGGGGACACGAAGCAGGGGACATTGGGATATCACCTGCTTGAGGACCCTCCGGTGTCCCCGGCTCTGTCCCTGCTCCAAAGCAGGTGACAAAAGAGCTCCTGCTGTCCCCACTGGCTCTCAGACGTGACTATGAGGTACAGCCAGCCTTGGAGGACACGGACACGTGGGGACAGCGCGACACACACGCTCTGTCCTGTCCCCCTGGGGTGGACATGTCCCCATGGGACCAGCAGGGCTCACAGCCACCCGTGGTGCCACCAGGATGGGGACCGCAGCCAGGGCCACCCTTACCGTCCATCTCGGTGTTGTAGACGGAGGCCGGGTCGGAGGCCAGCAGGGGCAGGGACACGGCCACGAAGACCAGGAGCAGACAGGCCACCTTGTAGTCCTCCTCCGGGGATGAGCCCTCTGCCAGGGACACAGGGAACACCAGGTGGGTGCCAGGGAGGTGACCCAGGAGCAGGGGCCAAAGAGGGGACTCAGGGAGGTGACACAGGGTGGGAGTCCCAGGAAGGGGACTCAGGGGTCCCAGGGAGGTGACACTGGATCAGGGTCCAAAGAGGGGACTAAGGGGTCCCAGGGTGGGGACTCGGGGTCCTACAGAGGTGACATGGGGTGGGGGTCCCAGGGAGGGGACTCAGGAGCCCTTGGGATGTGACACAGGGTGGAAGCCCCAGAGAAGTGACACAGAGGGTCCTCCAGAGGTGACACCAGGCAGGGATCCAGGGAAGGCTCAAGGGCGTCCGAGGGAGGTGACAATCAGCAGGGACCCAGTGAGGTGACATGAGAGGTGACAGTGTCTGGAGGGGTCCCAGAGGGACATCGCAGGGTGATCACAGGGACAGGGGTCCTAGGAGGGACCCACAGAGGGTGTCAGGGACAGTCGCCCGCGGGGACACCTGGCCCCGGTACCCGTCTTGCTGTTGGCCAGGACGGTCACCAGCGCCGGGTCGATCTCGCAGGGGATCCCCGCGGCCGACGCCAGCTCGAAGATGCTCAGGGTGACCTGTGGGGACAAGAGGTGCCAGGCTCCAGGTTGGGCACCCCGGCGTGCCAGGGCCACATCTGGAGGGATCCCAAGTGCTGCCATGCGTGGGGACACCGAGGTGCTGGTAGCCACAGGGACACCAGAGTGTCACCTCCACGAGGGCTGCCACGTTACGGTGGCCACATGGTAGCCACGAGTGGAGTGGGTGCATGGGAGTCCTGCCATGTGCCAGGCACTGCCGGCTGTACCCCATGTCACCGTGTCACCAAGTGCCATGCAGCGCCCTGCAGGTCCACTCAGCGCCATGCAATGCTGTGCACTGCCACCTAGTGCCACCCAGTGCCACTCAGTGCTATGCAAGGACACGCGGTGCCACACAGTGCCATGCAGTGCCACCCTGTGCCAAAAGTGCCATGCCATGCCAAGCAGTGACATGCAGTGCCACAGGGATTTGCAATGCAACACAGTGCCACACTGTGCCATGCAACACCATGCAGCGCAATGCCACGTAGTGTCATGCAATGCCACCATGATATGCAATGTCACACAGTGGCCATGCAATGCCATTAAATGTCATGCAATGCCATGTCATGCTGCAGTGATTTGTGCCACACAGTGCTACAAAGTGCCATGCAATGCCTCATAGTGTCATGCTACGCCATGCAATGCCACACAGCGATATGCCATGACACTCTGTGCCACAGAGTGCCATGAAATGCCATACAGCACCACTATGTGCCATGCAATGCCACACAGTGCCATGCAACACTATGCAATGCCACGCAGTGCCATGCAATGTGACATGGTGCCATGCAATGCCACACAGCGCCGTGCAACACTATGCAATGCCACCGTGCTATGCAATGCCATGCCGTGCCATGCAATGTGCCATGCAATGCCACATGGTGCCACGCAATGCCACACAGTGTCATGCAACACTATGCAATGCCACCGTGCTATGCAATGCCATGCAGTGCCATGCAATGTGACATGATGCCACGCAACGCCACGCAGCACCCACCTGGATGTCAGTGTCGGGTGTCACCACGTCCGTCAGACACTCGATGGGGCCCATGAGGAAGGGGCAGTGGTAGGAGAAGACCTGGTGCCACGCAATGCCACACAGTGTCATGCAACACTATGCAATGCCACCGTGCTATGCAATGCCATGCAGTGCCATGCAATGTGACATGATGCCACGCAACGCCACGCAGCACCCACCTGGATGTCAGTGTCGGGTGTCACCACGTCCGTCAGACACTCGATGGGGCCCATGAGGAAGGGGCAGTGGTAGGAGAAGACCTGGGGTGGGCAGGACGGGGGGCGCAGGGTGAGGACCGCGGCCGCGGGCACCCACGGGGCACCCCGGCCTGGCACCCACCTCGCGCAGGCCCTGCTGTGCCAGCGCGCGGAAGCTCAGGATCTCGCCCACGCTGGT